TGCTGTAATTTTTATATAGTATTATTGAAATATAGTTCTCCAGTATGACTAGTAAGATTTATAATTGAAGGTTTATGCTAAGAAAAATAAATCCCGTATTTTAGTATAAAAATTAGGTCTTTATATACTCTATAGTTCTTAGTTGTCATGGTAAAATATTATTCTTGTTTCTTTAACCATTAAATCAAGATTAAATTTTTATCTCGATTTCTTAAGACATATTACTTTATTTTGATCGTGGGGATTTCTAGTTAGAGGTTGTGGTTAGAGAAAAAAAAATTCATAATTTGATCTAGCATCATCTATTTTCTGTTTCAGGTTATTTCAATAACAATTCGATTCTAGCTTTGTTAACCGTTGGATTAAGCTCAAAATTTAGCAATATGTTCTTAAGATAATATTCTTCACTTTGACTATTTAAATTTACATTCAGAAGTTTGTAATAAGAAATATTATTTTCGCATTTTAGATAAAGAACAACTTTTCTAAAAAATCAAAAGTCTTATCCCAACTACTATAACTTGTCAAATGTGAAATACTATCATGATATTTAAACCCTAAATGATGGTTTTACTATTACATGCCTATGAATCTATAGGAAAAATAATAATAATATAATAATATAAATGTTCTATATAATGTTAATAAGATAAGTAAATAAGATAGTTTGGTAGTTGCATCTATCCATCTTTCTTCCTCGTACTTTTCCATTTTCTTCTTCTTTGTCTATTGATCAAAATTTTAAAATACTTTGAAAAAAATTATTCAATCTATTGAGAAGCAGTGTTTTACTTAGATAAGTTATTTTTAGGTAAGAGAAATCTATTTATTTTTATAAGTTTCAAATTTATTTTAATAGTTATTTATTTTATTTTTATGTCCTTTTATTTATTTATTTATTTATTGTTCTTATTTTTTATTAGTGAGATGTTTATAACCTCATTTTTATTTATTGATTATTATTATTTTTATTTCGTTAATGAGATTTTTATAACATCATTTTTATTTACTTATTATTATTATTTTATTAAGATGTTGATAACTTATTTTTATTTATTTATTATTATTATTTTATTTATGAGATGGTGATACCTCAGTTTTATTTATCGTTATTATTTTTATTTTCTTAGTGAAGCGTTTATAACCTCATTTTTATTTATTTACTATTATTATTTTATTAGTGAGGTATTTATAGCTTCATTTTTATTTATTTATTATCATCATTGTTTTTATTTTATTAGTGAGGTGTTTAACCTCATTTTTATTTATTTATTTTTATTATTTTTATTTTATTAGTGAGATGTTTATTTATTGTTGTTATATTTATTTTATTAGTGAGGTATTCATAATCTCATTCTTATATATTTATTATTATTATTATTATTATTATTATTATTATTATTATTATTATTTTTATTGGTGATGTGTTTATAATCTCATTATTATTAATTATTTTCATTTATCTATTAAGATGTCCATAACTCATTTTCATTTATTTATATTTATTTATTTAAGTGAAATGTTTTAAACCTCATTTTTATTTATTTATCTCTATTATTGAAATTAATTTTATTTGCTGCGATGTTAATAATCTCATTTCATCTCGTTCTTACTTGTGAAGTACTTGAACACAAAATGAGTTTTGTTCATCTATAAAATAAATTAAGAGGAGAAGTAGTATATTGACTAGAAAAGTGGAGAGCCTTCGAAATCGATGTGAGACTTTCAAGCCTATTCACTACCGTCATAAGACACAATAATGTCACGTACTATGTTCGTAGGAATAATAGTTCTTAACTCAAAAAGAAAAATTTTAGTCTTAGTTTAAAAAATAAGAAGAACATAGTTTAGAAGTTCTGAAATGGTTAGGTAAAATTGGTAACTCAAAGTAAAAACTATTGGATGGATGCTAGGAGACGTAATACCTAAAAAGTTTTTATTTTCAAAAAATAAGATATAGATTAGTTGCTTTGAAATTGTAGTATGTTGTGTAATTGAGAAATACCTAAAATTATTGTATTGATATATGTTGGATGAATTGTATGAATATGAATATTTCTAAGGAGAAATATCCATATTATGTAGTGTAATGTATACATTGGTGTATGAATTCCAGCATGTAGTCATTCTGACTCTACTAAATTCTCATACTCATATAGAGAAGGGGATTTAGGCGGTGAGAACCAAAGGAGGTTCCTAGTCTGTGGGAACGAGATGAAATAGTACAGTGACTTAAAGGATGGAAGGGAATTAACCTTGTAATGATGGTTTTTGTAATAAGGATGGTGATTTTGGGATAAGGGAAAATATTGTTATTGAAGATGAATATATTGTATAAAATTTATGATAAGTACAAGACTTTACAAGAACATTGACACCATATGTATATGTCTCTAAAACTAGAGTCTTATATGTTTTTGTGTTTAATATTAAAGGATGAGTCAAATGATTAATATTTTATTACTAATTGATTGATATGATATGAAATTTTTTATGATGATTTTTTATAACTTAATGAAAAAAAATAATATGAGAATTCTTGAAGTGAGGGTGTGTCTGAGAATGAATAGAATTTAGGTTTGAATACCAAAACTTTGAGATCATGTGATACAAATATATTATGATTGTGATCATTTCCTAAGGAGAAGTGTCACATTCAATAAGATATGGTTACATTGAGTTTGAATCCAAAGAGTGAAGTTATCCTGATTCTACTAAACTCTCATACTCATGTAGAGAATGGGATTTAGGTGGTGGGTATGGAAAAACGTTTTGAATGAATTGATTTTATCATTGGGTTAGAGTAGTATAAATATACAAATTGATAACGTAAATTGGAAATAGTCAAAGGAACAAACTCCACCAATTTAGCACTAACAGTTAGCCTAAATAAAGGAAAAGGAGATATACAAAAGCTGACTAATAAAAACTAATTATTATAATTTAAAACTAATTATTATAATTGAGAGTGCTACCGAGATACAAAAAATAACCAATTATGGAGATATAATCATCCTTATCACACTCCTAATCTGCATCTGAGTAAGCATGAAAGGTTAGTAGAACAATTTCTGGGATGAAGATGCCTTTGTTGAAAGAGCCCGCCAAATAACGGAGCACCCGTTTGAGGGCAGACCGATGTGTCGTTCTAGGGTGTTGCATGAACTGCACAAGTTTGTTGGTGCTGAAGGCGGTGTTCAGGCGAGTAAAACATAACTATTGAAGACTTCCCATGAGTGCGCGATACTCAGTTGGGGAAGGTAGGAGATCATTAGAATCCTTGAGTAATTGAGCACTGGCAAACAAGGGAGTGGATGCTGATTTTGTGTTAACCATGCCTGATTTATGGAGTAGATCAGTGATGTATTTCCTTTGCGAATTTAGCACTAACAGTTAGCCTAAATAAAGGGAAAGCATATATACAAAAGCTGACTAATAAAAACTAATTATTATAATTTAAAATTAATTATTATAGTTGATAGTGGGAGTCAAAGGAGGTTCTCAATCATCGTGACTTAAAGGATGGAAAAGACTTAATCCTGTCATGGTGGTTTGAGAAAAGAATGTTGAGCTTTGTATACAGGAAATGTCGTTATTGATGTTAAACCTAATGTGGATAAAATTCATGACATGTGAATGATTGACACAAGTATTCAACTAAATGCATGAGTATTCCTGAAATTTTGTCTAGATCCTGTTTAAGTTTTAATAGATGATGGTGACTATATGACTAATACGATGTTGTATATTGACTGATAAAACTCAATTATCCAAAATAGTTACTACAAACATGATTTAAATCTTTTTAAAAATTTATGATATAAATAAGTTTACCCTTCATTTATTTTGTGGTGTTTTAGTGTCTACCTATAATAATCATATATATGTTCAAATTATATACGTGGATAGAGAATCACATAGATGACGGTGATGGACATGTGTAAAACTTCAAATATGATTACAAAGAAATATGTATACCAAATATCTTCCTATTAATGCAATATTCATATTTTCATGTAAGTACGAGATACAATGATAGTTATCAATATTAAAAAAACATATTTTAATAGTTGTTAAAATTTCTTAGGGCACTTATATAATTATACAATCTACCTAGTAAAATTGGTTAGATTCTAAGATAAAGAGAAAATTTAATCAACAAATTAGCATTTATTACTGTAAGAATATGTTTCAACAAATTTGTCTAGAAAAATATTATTGCAATTATAAAAAAAAAAACTTTTTATCGTACAACTCTATAAATAAATATCTTATACATTCGACCCTACCTTCTACCACGCAGGTGGTTACCACTTGTTTTGATTTCTTTAATAATATCCAGTGTTTGGTAGGTGCGTATGAATGGCATGTGATAGAAAAGGTAGAACGTTATTATTTAAAATAATAACAAGTGAAATATTGGGACAAAATTAAAAACACGTGAAACAGCCATTTAACTCTTATCCTTGGTTAGGCATCTTCTTTCTCTGACCATATATTATCTAGGCTGAATACCCTATTTTGTCCTCAATTTCGCTCGAAAATGTCAAATTAGTCCATCCTTTAAAAAATGCGTCAATTACGTCCTCACTTAATAAAATTTACATCAATAAAATCCCTTCCGTTAAATCCGTACAAACGGCGTTAATTATTTTTCTCTCTTATTAAGTAACGCCGTTTGTACGGACTTAACGGAAGGGATTTCATTGATCCAAATTTTATTAAGTGAGGACGTAATTGACGCATTTTTTAAAGGATGGACTAATTTGACATTTTCGAACGAAACTGGGGATAAAATAGGGTATTAAGCCTATTATCTACATGAACTTCCACTATGTGGGACCACTTGTTTTGATTTATTAATGATAAGTAGGTATCAATATAGCATGTGATACATGTCTTTGAAAATAAAGCATTTGTGATAGAAAAGGTAGAACGTTATTATTTAAAGGGTTAGGTTAAGCATTTGATAAGCAAGATGAGAAAGAGAGAAATAAAAAATGGAGAGAAAGAATAGGATTATTGTGTTTGGAGGAACTGGCTACATAGGGAAGCATTTGGTGAAGGCAAGTCTCTCTTTAGGTCATCCAACTTTTGTCTACACTCGTCCTTTCACTTCACAAACTCCTCCTTCCAAGACACAACTTTGCAAGGACTTCACCTCCATGGGAGTCACTCTTCTTCAGGTTATTTACATTCTCTCTTCTAATAACAACTCATAATAAGTTTGTGTTTCGGATGTAATAACAACTCATAATAATTTTGATTAATAATAACCTAATTATGGCTAAATTGGTGATAATTACACTTTGTTTAAATTGATCAGAATTAATATTAATATCTAAGTTGTTTGACCGTTTGGTCTTGTCTCAATCGTATGGTCATGAAGAAAGCTCGTGTGAAAAGTAGACGGTTCGATCCATATCATAGATCGGACAGTCATACGATATAATTTGTATTGAAAATTTAGGTGCGAACCTGAGTTTTGTACAAAGTAAAAATAAGATAATTGAACATCATATAATAAAGATATTCATAAATTCACTGTCTTAATATTTTGAGATTTTGAATTGAAAAACATGTCAATTTCTTATATGAAATGTCTTTACGGTGAATTTCATTAAAAATATCATCATTTTGAATTTAGTATAAATAACTAATTATAACAACTTAGTATAAATAACTAATTGTAACCACGCTAAATAAATTGAGAAAGTTAAACATGTCAAAAACTTGCTATCAGTTTATATTTAGTAAAAAAGACTAATAATGATAACATAGAGTAGATTTGAAAAAGTTGAACGCATTTTATTAAATATGAAACTAAAAATATTTATGATCAACTTGTTCATTACTTTTTCATATTTATAATGGAAAGATTCTCGGAAACATTTGTAATTTGTTTGAAACATGATCACTCTTTCTCTTGAAAATAAACTATATATAGTTGCTCATTTTCATTGTAATGAGTGTGAATTGATGGAGCAGGGAGAAGTTGAGCATGAGCAGATTTTGGCTGTGATTAAAGAAGTAGACATTGTGATATGTGCACTTCCATTCCCTCAAGCTATGGAGCAACTCAAAATCATAGAAGCTATCAAAGTTGCTGGTAATATAAAGGTATACTATAACAACATTTTCATTAATATCATTTTTAGTGGCAAAGAAAAATATTTTTAATGAGTTTGGAAATCTTTACTTATATGCATATTTTTTTTAGAATCAAAATAAGTTTAAATTCGTAAACCAATATAACTTATTACATGTTGGAGTTAAGTTTCAAAAAAATATAATTTTTTAAGTATGAGTTAAATTAAATTTAAGTTACTTAACCTGTGACATAAAAGAATTTGAATCAAGTTAGTGTTGACCCATCCATCAACAACAAATCTATATAATTTTTTTTATCATTTTTTATAATTATTTATTATTTTTATATAGTTTCACAATTTAATTTTTAAAAACTAAAATATTATTCAATAGTATTTACATGATATAAATGTTTTATTTATTTGTTTATCCAATTATATAAGATAAATTTTTAATATTTACTTACTATCTTTACAATTTTTCTAATTTCAATTAATATTTAGTGAAATATATTTTTTTACATAGTCAAGTCAATCCATTTAAATCACTCATTTAATCTACTAACTCATAATGGTCAAATTCATTTACAAATATATGATTAAAATATGTAACTTCTAAACCTTTAAAAAAAAACATATCTAACCAGCATTTCATTAATTTCAGCACCTACAAGGGGACACCTTAATGCTTGTCGGCTTAAATGGAATACATTTTAAATTTCATACAGTGTGTACATAAATACATAAATTAATATAGCTATAGCACAGATAAAATATCACAAAATTTATTTATTTTTTCCTTTTCTCATGTAACTACTGTTATTAAATTGTCACACATTTATTTTCAATTACGTTGAGTTCATTTATGACTAACTTTTTAACCTAATAATCTATTAAGCAAAAAATTGATATAAATGAATTTTGATTGAGTAAATAATTTTCATCCAAAGTATTTTATATAAGTAAATGTTTTTTTTATTTGTAGATAATATATTTTTTATTTTAAGAAATGGATCATGAATTAGTCCTAATACATTTTTTGTGAGCATTTTGATCTTATAAACTTTTTTCTTATGTAAATTTTTTGTGTTGAAAACTTTTTTGATGTGAATGTGTGTAATTATAAAGAATCTCACTAGTGCAGCGAAGGGAAATGGTAGCGGTTGTTTTTTAAAATACGCTTCGATTTTCGAATCGAGATAGGGGACTTTTGACCTCGGTTACAACCGATGTAATATGTTGAAGGATACTATCTTAGTTGCTCTAGAACCGAAGCAATAACCTGGAGCTATGGCAACGGTTCCAGCTTGAACCGCTGCCAAAGAGCTATTTTTATTCTCTCTGAAATAAATTATCGTTCACCATATGACATTGGTTTTGGTTGAATCGAAGCCATATGTAGGCTTTCTACCTTGGTTTTGGCTACAACCGAGACCTATTCTCCTGCAATTATTTTTAATAGTAGGTTTGTTTTTGTGATATCTACTATCACAAAAACAGACTTGCATATCAAATACAATATATACAACACAGATTCAACACAATATTCAATATTTACATTACATAATGTTTAAAACATAATGTACAAAGTCTAATAACTATAAATCAACATGTTCTAATGTATTTTAAATCTAATAACTATAAACTATTATATAATCTAACTAAATGTTTTGCAAATGTCTTCCTTAGGAATGTAAGTGGTTTCTCAGAAAGTGGAGAAGGAGCCTTGAATCTCTGCACAAGACAATTGATATTAATTAGTGTATATGAATTCCAAATGTTGGAGAAAATCAAAATTCATTAAATTTAAATATTACTGTTTCCTAGTCTCTTGTGATATGGGCACGAATAATGTGGGCCATCCAATGCATTACATAATATCCGCACTCATATGACCCACTCTGTCTGTTACACTACAATATATCATCACAGTTGTAAATAGTTAGTGAAAATCATTAAAACAAAAAAAACTATAAGAAGGTATGGCTTTAGCATATGTCAAACCTTGAGAGCAACCCATGCAAGCTTTCTACCGTTAGTAGTTGATCTCCCAACTAACATCATACATGCTGCAATAAAACTATATAAAAAAAACTTTTAGCATTCATTTATATAACAAAGAAAGTCCAAACATTGAGGTTCTTACCAATCAACTGCTTGTCTGAGATGTTTGGGAGGAGACTTGTGCAATGAGTAGAACCACAAAGCATAGCTCTCCGGTATGGAAATAACAAGTAGCTGCCAATGGTGCCTGAAATTGATAATAACTTAATTTTTATATATTAAAATCAGATATAGATCTTTATGAAGTTAACAAACTTCACTTACCCGGATATATAAGGAATAAAATATATTTCCTTCTCGCTTCCAAATCTGCTAGTGAGATATGTTGTGATGTCATCAAAATCATTTGCTTCGTGAATGACTTGGGGATCAATTAACCCATAAACATCATTGTACCCCAAGTTGTTATTGACACCAAGCATATACCTAAAATAAAAAATTACCTTTGATATAAGTATACTTGATATATAAATCAATTTTATATAAATAATTGCTCATATACTTACATCATCCATAGATGAATTAATGTAATATTCAACTCTTCTCTTCCCGACGCAAGCTCCCTGACATCTTGGCTATGCAAGTATATTGGGACCTCAAAGCCTCTCCCAAATACATTGGCATCATATTCAACCTTCATAGGCTCTAATGATGTCACAAAGTTGCTGCAATGCACCAACAAGATTGTCCTTAGATAAACGAATCTTCTCTTGTTCATACGTCTGTTCTTACATGGAAAAATAGGATAAGTTTCGACATCAATAACATGTAAAATTTAAAATTGACAAGTGTAAAGTAGAAGTCCATACTGGGGGGTCAGAAACCGAACCAACCAAGTGTTTAGGCCAAGCGATAAAAGTCTGGAATGCCTGTGCCACAATGAAAATCTCATCTGTGGACAGAGGAACTGAGGTATCTGGTATGATAATATCGTCTACTAAGACCTTCACCTCATCCTCTGATAGCTCCATACCATGAACAACAGTCGCTGCCTTAAACACTGTTCCACGAGCTACCAGCATCGTCCCGATACCATCTAAAACGTATAGCAGACATGGACTATCATCGTCCATATAATCCCCTGGGACGAATGGTGCTGGACAACTTCCTTTCCCGCTTCTCCCTTCTAGAGTAAAGCTTAGATTATAAAAATAATAAATTATTGAACATAAATGTTTATTGATTTTACCTGTGAGAGGCACAATAGGTTCCTGTACTGGAGATGGCTGCGGACGCATCCCATAACTCTCAAATTGTTGTTGGAACTGGCGCATAACTCTGTCAGTCACTTCTGTAGTGACTTCATCATACAATTTTGTCCTAAGCTCCTCCCTAAGCTCCACCCTAAACTTTTTTGAGATCTCTTGTGTCAGCCTTTGTTCTTGTTCTTCGTTGTATGATACATTCTTACAAAATTATATGATCCTATTAAAAAGTAAACTTTAAACATTAATATAAGAACCTGATAGTGTGAAAAAGCCAATAACAAATGACAACCCGCGAACGGTAGAAAATTCAACTCTGCAAAATTCAAACCTACAAAAAGAAATATTAGTTTTACAAACAAAATCAAACATCAAAACGCAACAAGAAAAACTAACGAAAAATTACCTCTAAGGAACAGAATCGTAAATCCCAAATAAAAAAGACATTTGGAACAATTTTGATCAGTTAAAAAGCTTCCTAAACGTTGACGATGGCCATGGTAACAAGAAAATCCAAATTTAAACGGTGAAAAATGAGTGAAAATGGAAGAAGAAGGCAATGACATCTCTCGAGAGGATGTATAGAAACTGTTTTACGCGAAGACGACAACACTGTTCCTTCGCGTTTTCTTTTTTTTAACCTACTAAAGGTTATTACCTCGATTCCCACTAAAACCAAGGCGATAAAGGTAATACAGCCTCGACTCCCCGCACAACCTAGGCCTATTCTCTTTAAAAAGAATTAAAAATAAATATGAAATGGCAGTTTTGAAAATTTTTTCAACTTTTTTGTCTCGGTTCCCGCCATAATCGAGGTCACATCCTCTGTTAAAATTTAAATTTTATTTAAAGATTTAAATTTGTTCAGATCAGGCTTTATGGCATCGGTTTTCAAGAGAACCGAGGCCAAATCCTTAATTGTCTGACTACCACCTTTATGACAACAGACTGTAGATGTGGAATGTCAGATTCTTGCAAGTGTTTTTGGCTTCGGTTCTGCAAAAACCCGAAGCCAAAAGCCCCGCACAGGGATTTTTATCAGACAACTGACTTATTTGTCAGTTTCTTCCAGTAGTTTTTGGCCTCGGTTCTGCAGACAACTGAGGCCGAAAGCCCTGCACAGGGATTTTCATCAGACAACTGACTAGTTTGTCAGTTTCTAGCAGAGGTTTTTGGCCTCGGTTCTGCGGACAATCGAGGCCATATACCCTTTATGGCATCGGTTCGGAAGCAACCGAGACCTATACTGTCAATAAAATTTTAAAAATGTCACCCACGCCATTTTATGCTTGGGTTACTGATGAATCGAGGTATAGACACGGTAATATCTCTTTTTTTTTACTTGTGTCTGATAAAATGGTGTTGCAGAGATTCATTCCAACAGGGTTTGGTTCAGAAGAAGAGAGAATAAAGGCTCTTCCTCCATTCCAAGCTGTGCTTGATGAGAAAAGAAAGATAAGAGAGAAGATTGAAGCTGCTGGAATCCCTTATACTTCTGTCAATGCAAATTGTTTTGCTGCATACTTCATAAACTATTTGCTTCACCCACATCATAATGTGAAAGATATTGTTGTTTATGGTACTGGTGAAGCCAAAGGTATAAAATCCCACTACTCATTTAATACATTCTTCTATTTATTCCGATTAATGAAGAACAAAAATGAGAGAAAATTTGTAGATTTTATTTTATGTTTTTTAATTAGAAAAGTTAAATATATTTTTAATCCGTTAACTTTCAGTTAAAAATTATTCAGTCATTTTAACTATAATTTTATTTTTTTATCTTGGAATTCATTTGATTTGATAAATAATATCTTTCGAATAAATGATTATCTAAATTTTAATATATAACTATCTATATTTGATATGTGAAATAACACTATCAAATATGGTTAAAGTCAAATAACTATTAAGTCAAGAAAATAGGAATTTAATTAATTAAAAAATATATAGAAATGAAAATTAATAAAAGACCTACATATAAAATTCAAATTACTAATTAAATTTAATATAATATTAAGAAAATAATTAAACTTAATATATATTAAATAAATAAATAATCGGTTTGCTCGGATATATATAAAAGATATATATATATATATATATATATATATATATCATCATTGAAAACTAGTGTACCTTCCCTTCTTTTTAACTACAACTCTAACTTGACTATGTGTGTCAACTTACAAATATGTTGTTGAATTATTAACAATATTATTGTAAAAGAAATATTTTTATTTATCTATGTATAGATAAATAGTCTAATTCAACTGTGGAGTAAGAGTGCTATATAGAATAGAATACATAATAAAGTTGAGTGAAACAATAATATAAAGAACAAAATTAAAAAAAAAAATACTTTTATTCACCGAAAGGTTTTATATACAAAGAGTCTAATTTAAAAAATTTCATATTAAATAAAGATAATTAAATAAATAATATGAAAAGATCTATAAATTTATCTTAATTTTTTTTGGGTTAAAAATAGTATCAAAATCATTATATATAGAATGACTCATGGCATATATTTAAATTATTTTATGAAATTTTTATTATAATTGTTACTTTTCAATAGGATTCAATATTATTTGTTTATTTTAGTTAAGAATGACAAAATGGATTGTTGCTTGTAAACTAACCTATCAATCCGTCAAAATGAAACAGGTTGGATTGAAATCTTGAATATGTCAGTTTGTTTTGGTTGGACTTATTTAGTGTATTAATTAAAATAATTTAATGTAAATGTAATATTTATTTTAATTTATTTCATTAAAAATATTAATCAATTAAAAATTTAGAATATATTTATATGATTAAATATGTTTTTAATATATATATATATATATATTAATATATATAAAAACAAATTTTAAAAATATAAAATAAAAATAAAATTGTAGGCTAGTATGTCTCGTTGTAATTTCTTACATGTTTTTGGCGGATTGAGACCAAATGACCTGTTTTACTGCCCTGAATTTTGATAAATCTCTATTCTCTTTTTATATATAAAATTATAATATTTTATCCATACTTTTTAGAATGGTAAAATATATACATTTAAATTGTAATTTTATTCTATTAGCACATTCTAACGTAATACTTTTTAAAATTAAAAATTAGAGTGAAAAATAAGTTAACTTTTTTTTATCATTTAAATGGTATGAATATACAATTATATTTTAATTTAAATAAGTTTTTATGAATTAAATTTTAATTATTAATTTTTAGTTACTTTAATTAAGAATATTAATTAATTAAATGCAGAAAACATTTACATATGTACTTTTTAGCATATAAAGAGAAAAAAATAAAAAAAAAAAGGTTTCAACTTGTGTTTTTAATATGCCAAATCAATACGGACCAAAACAGTCCATTTTCTCACCCATAACACTTTTCACTTTTTTTTTTCTCTTTTTTTCATTTCACATCATGCATTCAAAATATCATTTTAATTTTCGAAAAATACTATATATACTGAAATAACTTTAGTCCATTATTTGAATGAAATTAAGATCTGATATATATAATTTGTTTGATATCAGCTGTACTAAATTATGAAGAAGACGTGGCTATGTATATCATTAAAGCAGCTAATGATCCAAGAACATGCAATCGTGTGGTATCTTGTCGGCCTTTGAAGAACATCATAACACAGAATCAGTTGATATCATTATGGCAGCAAAAGTCTGCTCAAACTTTTACCAACACTTTCGTTTCTGAGCAAGAAATTATCAAACTCTCACAGAGTAAGACAATTTATTTTCTTCACATTTTATAAAATTTATACAAACATTTTTATTTGCATTTTGTTTGGCTCTTTTCTATAACACTGTTTTTTATTAAAAAAATTGTTCAGTACCTAAAACATGTTGTATCAAGAAAATCAAGTTAAATTTTAGTAATTGTTTCGGGTGACGAGAAATCGAGAACTACAATTAACACTCTTTTACACTCTTTTTTTTCGATTATTTATTGTTGTATCAAATTTCAATTATAAAATTATCTTCAATCTTTTATCTTTAAACTTTTTAAACTTTTAGCAGATACATGTATGATATTCAAGTTAATTATGTGTCAAGTCGTTTAACATAGTAAAAAATTAAATAAGTGTAATCATTTATATTTTTATTTTACATTTATATTTATAGATTTCCAAGTAAACTTTTAATTAAAGTTGATTTAATTATTAATGTTAACAGATTTGTCAATATTACTATGTGAGAGTAATACTTTTGTTAGTTAGGTTTCTGTTATCGATTAGTTTTGTTTTTATGAGTCTGTTAAGTTTTTGGTTAGGGATTTCTAACAAATCCCGCTCCTTTTCTTTCTCTTTACAAGAATCCTGTATAATCTAGGGTTCTCTGTTTTCTTTGAACAATACAAGAAAAATACACATTTAATATACATAAAAGTTTCCAGTTTTACTTACCTCTCTTGGGTCTCTCTCTGTTATGACGATTCTCCACCTTGAGACTCTCTCTGTCTTGACAATCCTCTGCCTTGGTGCTGCTACTGTGACGACCACGGAGCTTTTGCTGGTTTTCTCTTCTTTGGCTCGCAACTCTTCTTTTAGGGTTCACGTTGGGTACCATTTCTAATGTTAATCATGACCAAAATGTGAATTTGATTTGCATTGTTAATGTTTAATAAAAATATGATCGGTAAGAAATCCCAACTATGGGAAACAATGCTCTCACTACAATAAGATGAACCACATTGTGAATGAATGTTATTCTAAGCATGGTTTTCCACCATGGTACAAGAAAAATGACAATAATAATCAAAAAAGAAGGGGACAAAATGAATGGAACTCTGCCAATGCTTGTTCTGCCTCTAGAGAGACATATTCTACTCAACAAACCAACACTGACTCCACTCTCACTTCTCTCACTCCATAACAGATGCAAAATCTGTTACAGATGATAGAGAAAGTTGATAACTCTTCCCATAGCATCAGTCAAGTGCAAAGAGACAAAACAGAGGACAAAGAAGGTATGTTTTCTTGGATTGTAGATACAGGAGCAACTGATCATGTAACCCATAACAAAAAACATTTTGTCACCTTCCATAAGATCAAACCTATATCTGTTAGATTATCCAACAATTCCATTGTCACTGCCCATTATGCAGGAACCATACAATTTTTAAAAGATTTTGTTATCTTTAATGTTTTATACATTCCCGATTTTTCCTTCAACTTGATTTCTGTCCAAAGTTTAACTATGGATATAAACTGCACCCTAACTTTTTCTTCTAAGATGTGTGAAATATAGGACAACTCTACCTTGAGGATGATTGGATGTGCTAATGTCTACAAGGGCCTCTATTACCTACAATCTTTTCCTGTTTCTGAACAAAATTCTGTACCTAAAACTGTTTTCTCTTATGAGCATGTAAACATAAACTTGTGGCATTATAGACTAGGCCATCCTGGACACAAGATTGTAGAAAAGATATGCAAAAATTTTCCTTATGTACAAACTGTTTCTGACAATGCTGGTGATATATGTCATTTTGCCAAACAACACAACTCCCATTTCCTAAGAGTAATTCTTTATCTGCTAGTTGTTTTGAAATCATACATTGTGACATATGGGGACATATCTCCATCCCCTCTGTTCATGGACATAAATACTTTCTCATTGTAGTTGATGATTAGAGTAGACACACTTGGGCCTTTCTTATGCATAATAAAGGTCAAGCTAGAGATTTATTGCAGAACTTTATTGTAAAGATTAAAACTCAGTTTGACAAAATTATCAAGATCACTAGAACTGACAATGGGCCTGAGTTTAATTGTCCTAGTTTGTATGACTCTCATGGTATTAAACATCAAAGAAGCTGTGTTGAAACTCCCCAACAAAACTCTGTTGTAGAGCGTAAACACCAACATATATTAAACATAACCCGTAGCTTACTCTTTCAATGTAACATTCCCTATGCCTATTGGTCTTATGTTGTCTCCCATGCCATATACTTGATAAATAGGCTTCCTTCTCCTGTTATTAATGAAAGAACTCCTTATGATGTGTTATATGATTCCCCTCCGACTTATCTCAACCTAAAATTTTTTGGTTGTTTATGCTTTGCTTCTACGTTAGAAAGTAACAGAAATAAGCTAGATTCTAGAGCTAGAAAATGTATTTTTCTAGGCTATAAAAATGGTGTAAAAGGCTACATTGTCCTGGACATTAACACTAGGGAAATTTTTATGAGTAGAAATGTCATCTTTTATGAAGACATTTTCCCATACAAAAATGAACAAAGTAATAAAGAAACAAACAATAATGAAGAAGATAGTATGTTTTTCCTTAATGATTTATCCTGCAGATATGATTCTATCAATAAACAGAACTTTGTTGAAAGTCACAGAGATGACCAAAGCTCCACTGGGAATAACAGAACTGACAGCAGCATTGAACCTATAGAAAATGAGGAAGATCACAATCATAGAAAGTCCACCAGAGTCAAAAGGACTCCTGATTACTTGAAGGATTACGTACATCAGGCTGACCAGCCCTTATCTAAATCCCTATGTGTCAGAAACGGTTTGAAGACTCCTTATCCTATCTTTAACATTCTGTCTTATGATTCCTTGTCTGAAAAACACTTGAAATACACCATGGCTATAACTGCCAGCAGTGAGCCCAGTTCCTATGATGAAGCTAGAATCAATCCTAAGTAAGCAGATGCTATGCAAAAGGAAATTAAAGCCTTACATGACAATGGTACCTGGTTTTTAACCCAACTTCCCCCTGGAAAGAAGCCCATTGGATGTAGATGGGTATACAAAATCAAATATAAGGCAGATGGAACTGTGGAAAGGTATAAAGCTCGTTTGGTGGCGAAAGGTTATACCCAACAAGAAGGAATAGACTTTCTAGATACTTTTTCACCTGTTGCAAAGCTTACCTCTGTCAGATTGCTGCTTGACCTTCTGCCTCAAAGAACTGGTTCTTACATCAGCTTGATGTTGATAATGCCTTCTTGCATGGGGACCTAAATGAAGATGTCTATATGGAACCACCACCTGGTTTAAATGCTCACACTAAGGGATAGGTTTGCAAATTGACTAAATCTCTCTATGGTCTAAAACATGCCAGTAGACAATGGTTTGACAAACTATCTACCTTCCTTATATATGCTAATTACACTTAATCAAAGTCTAACCATTCTCTCTTTATCAAGAAAACATCCACAAACTTCAAAGCACTACTTGTGTATGTGGATGACATTGTTTTGACAGGGAACTCTATGGCTGAAACTGATCATATAAAGGCTCTACTGCATCAGCACTTCAAAATAAAGGATCTAGGAGAACTCAAGTACTTCCTAGGATTTGAAGTTGCTAGATCTAAAAAGGGTATACATCTTTGTCAAAGAAAATATGCTTTTGATATCCTTAAAGAAACCGGAATGCTGGGAAGCAAGCCATGTTCTACACCCTTTTTGAGCAACACGAATTCTTTGTACAAAACAGAAGACTACTTTGATGATCCTAGTTCTTATCGTAGATTAATAGGGAAGTTACTTTATCTTACTAATACTAGACCCGATTTATGTTTTACTGTCAATTTGCTAAGTCAATTTATGCAAGCACCTACTAATTATCATTATCAGGCTTTGCAGCATGTTCTTAGATTCATCAAGTCCAGCCCTTCAGAAGGACTATACTTTGCTGCTGACTCTGGCACACAAAATAAAAGCTTTTAGTGATTCAGATTGGGCAACCTGCCCGAACACAAGAAGATCTACTACGGGTTTCTGCATCTTCCTAGGTTCCTCCTCATCTCATGGAAATCAAAGAAACAAAATACTGTTTCGAGATCTTCTACTGAAGGTGAGTATCGAGCTCTTGCTGCCACCGTTTGTGAGATGCAATGACTTCATTATCTTCTTCAAGATCTTCACATTCAACCCGCTGCTACAGTTGTTCTTTACTGTGATAACAACTCTGCTAGGCACATAGCTTACAATCAACGCTTCCATGAACGGACCAAGCATATTGAGTTGGATTGCCATGTTGTACGTGAAAAGGTTCAAGCTCACCTTCGATCGGAAGAACAACTCGCTAACATCTTTACAAAATTTTCTCATCGTGTTCGTTTCAGATCCATCATCCCCAAGCTTGAATTAGTCAATATACCGTCCAGCTTGAGGGGAATGTTAACAGATTTGTCAATATTACTATGTGAGAGTAATATTTTGTTAGTTAGGTTTCTGTTATCGATTAGTTTTGTTTTTATGAGTCTGTTAACTTTTAGGTCAGGGATTTCTAACAAATCCCGCTCCTTTTCTTTCTTAATCTAGGATTATCTGTTTTCTTTGAACAGTACAAGCAAAATACACATTTGATATACATAAAAGTTTCCAGCTTTACTTATCTCTCTTGGGTCTCTCTCTGTTACGACGATTCTCCACCTTGAGCTCTCTCTGTCTTGACAATCCTCTGTCTTGTTGCTGCTGCTGTGACGACAATGGAGCTTTTGCTGGTTTTCTCTTCTTTGGCTCGCAACTCTTCTTTTAGTTAGGGTTCACGTTGGGTACCATTTCTAATATTAATCATGATCAAAATGTGAATTTGATTTGCATTGTTAATGTTTAATAAAAATATGATCGGTCGACTTAGTGATAAGTCGTTCAATCTACATTGGGATCAAAATTGACATACCAACTTTTACCTGGAGACGAATAAAATTTTTGATGTTAAATTTGTTTTTTATATATGATTCATCTTGCAGCCTTGCCCTTTCCTGAGAATATTCCAGTTTCCATCATTCATAGTGTATTTGTGAAAGGAGACCTTACGAGCTTCGACATTGGAGAAGATGACCTTGAAGCTTCGTTGCTATATCCTGATTATAAGTATACCTCCATTGATGAAGTTCTTGATGTATTTCTTCTTCACCCTCCAACTCCTGCATCTACTTCTTTCGGATGAACTTATATTAAACTTATACTGCGTAAATCAATCTTTGAGGGTAAGATTTTAGGTTATTATGACATCTATTATGTACAATATTTCAATTTCTATTACTTATCCATCTATTTAATATTTTAGAACATTTTATCATGTTTATTAATGAAATATTTAATCTATAAATCAATATCGTTTTAATAATATTTTTTTTATTTCGACAATTTTTAATATATATAATTTTAGTTTAGATTCACATAATTTTAATTATATATTTATCATATTTAAAAAATACACACACACACACATATATATATATATATATATATATATATATATATATATATATATTAGAAAAATAAGCTTTATAAAACAAATTAAAATAACATACGCAAAATGAATAAATAAATTTCTTGTGCAATTCTTGAGTGAAAAACTAAATCTACGTTTCAAAATTTTATTATTAATCATCTCACATATCTCATTCGTAACCAAACAATTATTCTTTGTCTCAACAAATGTTATCAAAGAACAATTTGATATTTTATTGAGGACATATATTGAACAAGTCATACAGAAAGATAAAATCTAACTCATAATTAAACCTTATCATCAATAATAATGGTTCCTTGTGCATACTTTTATGTAAGAATCTCTTGGGATTTCTCACCACATGACATTTTAATTTACATAATTTAAATTAACATAAAATGTATGGGTTTCAAAGCTCAGTACCCCAATAATCATATTGGTTAGATCATTATCCCAAGTAACTATTTTTATTTTTCACAACTAAATCAACGTCACATATGAAACCAAACTCTTTTAATGTCACATCAATCATTCAATTATAATAAATATACTGTATAACATTTTATATATATATATATATATATATATATATATATATATATAACCATTTAATTCCGTCACGTGTCATTGATTCATATTGTTGAAATTAAAATAAACAAAAAATACGTAGAAACTCTAAAAGGATTTCTCACGCTTTCTCTTTTTTGTTTCGAAATTTCATTTGAAACTTGCAAGAGGGTTGTACTAGTTTAACCACCGTTGCTACAATTGCAATTTCCAACCATCAATTTCTCGTTATTAGTTTTACTTCTTGTTGGTTTTGAAGCATCATTGAACGACCAAACCACCATTGACATTGAGTTTTGAGGTTCTTGGCGTTTATTTCGGAGGTTGCAACTATTTGTAGTTGTCGTTGTTTGTTTCGGAGGTCGCAACTATTTGCAGCTGTCACTCTTCATTTTGTCTTGTGTTGGTTTCGAACCACCATTGAAGCACCATTGAAGCATTGGACCACCATTGACATAGGTTTTTAAGGTTGTCATCGTTCGTATCAGCTTGCATTGGTTTCGGAGCACCATTGAAGCATTGAAGCACCATTGACTTCGATTTTTGCAGTTGGTTGTTGAGCTTTCGGTTTGGCTTTCTTGTTCTTGTTCAGTTTGAACTTTTTTAAACTTTTTTATTTTTTTATCATTTAGGGGTTGTTGTTGGGTTTATCTCATTTTTTCGTGTACGGTAGGTATTTTTGCAATAAAGGAAGTTGGTGAACAGAGTGAACGTTGTCAAGGAAGCAGAAAGGTATGTGAGATTATACTATACTTCCAAATAGTTTGGGTTATTTTTGTATTTAAATAGAAACAATATTTTTTTATGCAGTTAGTTTTTAGACACTCTTGCAAGACAAAATTCATAGGTGATTTAAACCAAAGGTTGAGCAGTGAACGAAAGAATTATACCAACAAAACATTTTTACAAAGGTTCAACGCTATACAAACAATGGACGTAGTAAAGACTTCGTCCAAACCGGTCATTAAACCACACCTGCTTGTAAACAACAAAATTGAGGAAAAACTTCGTAAACTTCTGGATCCCTCCCAACAACCTTGTGTTTATGAACATGCACACAACTCCATTGTTGGAACTTCTAGTGCAACCAGAGATTGTCAATTTTATTATTTGTATCACTTATGTTATTGTAGTACTGCGTAGCAGGTGTTAAGTAGATGACAATATCGTTGTCTTTCTCCTTTCATATTATTATTAGTTCTCATATTAAACCAAATCATCATTGAAATATGTCAACATCATCAACAGACTGTAAAAAGAAAACTTCACAATTAGGTGAGGATGAACTATGAAATAAGTAGGGACCTAAAATTAAGCTTCTGCACAGAGAGGTCATCACAGAAATTCAAATAAACTTGTAATAGCAAACAAAAAATCATTGTCATTTAAATGCACAAACTACTCATCTTTGAAGACAATAATGACCACATATTTAATGAACTATATCAACAAGCTTGAAAAACCTTCCAAAATCTTAAATAATAAGGTAGGAATCAAATAAGAAATAAGTGTGGACCAACAATTAAACTTCTGCACAAAGAGGTCATCACAATTCATGAAATCAATTTTTAAGTGGAAAAAATATTCTTACAGAAATTAATACACAACCAACTCATCTTCAGAAAATAATGACCACATTGTTAACAAACTCCATCACCAAGCAACCAAAATCTGTAAAACTAACACAATTGGGTGGGCACCAAGGGTCAAATAACTGGGGACCTACACCTATAGTTTTGCATATCGAGGTTAACACAGTTCATGACATCAAGTTTTAAGTGAAAAAAAAATATTCTTTGACAAATTAAAGCACAACCAACTCATCTTTAGACAATGATGACCACATTTTTAACCAACTTCATCATCAACCAACCAAAATTAGTAAAAATCTAACTGCATAATCAGGTGGGCACCAATGGACAAATAATTGGGGACCTACGACTTTACTTTTGAAAAACAAGGTCACAGTTCACGACATCAATTTTTAAGTGAAAAAAAAATACTCTTTGACAAATTAATGCACAACCAACTCATCTTCATGCAATGATGACCAAATTTTTAACCAACATCATCACCAACCAACCAAAATCTGTAAAACTATTATTGCACACTTAGGTGGGCACCAAGGGTCAAATAATAAGGGACCTACAACTATAGTTTTTCACTACGTTTCCAAAAAATTCATGACATATTTTTAAGTGTAAAAAAATATTCTTTGACATATCTATGCACAACCAACTCATCTTTATGCAATGATGACCATATTTTTAATCAACTTCATCACCAACCAACCAAATTCTATAAAACTCTTACTGCACAATTGGGTGGGCACCAAGGATCAGATAAGTAGGACTTTCAGCTATACCTTTGCACAGCAAGGTCAACAAAGCCATGACATCAATTTTTAAGTAGAAAAAATATTCTTTGACAAATAATGCATAATGAACTCATCTTCAGGCAACAATGAGCACATTTTTAACATACTCCATCATCAACCAACCAAAATCTGTAAAACTTTTACTGCACAAATGGGTAGGTATAACAAGGATTAAACAAATGGGGACCTATAACTATAGTTTTGCACAACGAGGTCAACATAGTTCATGACATTAATTTTTTAGTGGAAAAACATATTCATTGACAAATTTATGCACAACCAACCCATCTCCAGGAAATGATGACCACATTTTTAACAAACTCCATTACCAACTACCAAAAATCGCACTTAGATGGGCTCCAAGGATCAAATAACTAGGGACCTACAACTATAGTTTTCCAAACCAAGGTCAACACAGTTCATGACATCAAGTTTTATTTGGATAAAATATTCTTTAACAAATTTATGCACAACCAACTCATCTTTAGGCAATGATTACCACATTTTTAACCAACTTCATCACCAACCAACCAAAATCGATAAAACTATTACAAAACAATTGTTTGGGCACCAAGGATCAAACAACTAGGGAAAAACACTTATAGTTTTGCACAACAAGGTCAACATAGTTCATGACATCAAAATTTAAGTAGAAAAAATATTCTTTGACAAATTAATGCACAATCAACACATCTTAAGGCCATAATGACCATATTTTTAACCAACTTCATCACCAACCAACCAAAAGTTGTAAAACTCTTATTGCACACTTAGGTAGGCACCAATAGTCAAATAACTGGGGACCTACAACTATAGTTTTGCACAACGAGGACCACACAATTCATGAAATCAACTTTTAAGTGGAAAACGTATTCTTTGACAAATTTATGCACAATCAACTCATCATGAGGCAATAATGACGACATTTTTAAGCAACTTTATCACCAACCAACCAAAGTTGTAAAACTCTTATTCTAGTCTTTGGTAGGCACCAAGGGTTGAATAACTGCGGACCAAAAAATCTAGTTTTTTACAGCGAGGTCCACACAATTCATGACATCAACTTTTAAGTGGAAAAAATATTCTTTGACAAATTTATGCTCAACTAACTATTCTTTAGGCAATGGTTACCACATTTTTAACCAACTTCATCACCAACCAACCAAAGTCTATAATACTCTTACTGAATAATTGGGTGGGCACCAAGGATCAAATAACAGGGACCTACAACTATAACTTTGCACAGGGAGGTTAACACAGTTCATGACATCAATTTTTAAGTGGAAAAATATTCATTGACAAATTTATGCTCAACGAACTCATCTTTAGGCAATGATTACCACATTTTTAACCAATTTCATAACCAACCAACCAAAATCTATAAAACTCTTACTGCACAATTGGATGGGCACAAAGGATCTAATAACTTAGGACATACACCTATAGTTTTTCACAACAAGATCAACAAAGTTCATGAAATCAATTTTTAAGTGGAAAAAATCTTTGACAAATTAATGCACAATCAACTCAACTTAAGGTAATAATGACCACATTTTTAACCAACTTCATCACAAACCAACCAAAAATTGTAAAACTCTTATTGCACACTTAGGTAAGCACCAAAGGTCAAATAAATAGGGACTTACAATTATAGTTTTCTACAACGAGGTCCACACAATTCATGACATCAATTTTTAAGTGGAAAAAATATTTTTGACAAATGGTTACCAAAATTTTTAACCAACTTCATCACCAACCAATCAAAATC